AAATAAATAAATAAAATCTTTTTAAAAAAACGTGTACAAACAGGAAGTAGAATGCGGTTACGAGGGGCCGGGGCACAGGAGGGAACAGGGAGTTCGTTGTTCAAGGGGTACAAAGTTTCAGTTACAAAAGATGAAAACCTGTTCCCCAATATGCACATGGTCAATGCTGCTACACTGCACACTTACAAATGGTTAAGGGGCGACACTTTATGTTACGTGTTCCTTACAACAGTAAATATATATACATATATATATATATATTTTTTTTTTTTTTTTTTTTTTCTAAGAAGAAGAAGAAGAAATAGAGCCATCCCACAACAGCTTAACCTGCCTCCTGCCTGCCTGGTCACACCTTGCCGGGACCTGGGATGACCCCATGGTCCGCAGGCAGGTGCACAGCACGGAGGACAGGAAGGCGGTTTGGGGGGGGCACTGCAGAGCAGGCAGCACTGCCAGGATTTGCCTCCCCACCCCCACCGCCCACCCGGCACTCAACAGCCCCACGGTTCTGCCCCTGAACCACTTCACTGTGCACTCCTGGGAAGGGCAGGGCCGAAGACCTAGGGATAAAGAGGAGGAGGAGAGCGGTTACCAAACTGCGTTGACTTCTTCATTGGTCTCAGGAATCTGACCTTAATCTTGCTTCCAGAAAGACAATGGGCCCCATTCCTGCCCAGGCTTGCCTCAGCATCCCAAGTGTTCTGAGAAGCTGAGGGAGTCAATAGGACTTCCTTGAAGCCAAGGCTGGAGGCAGGTTCTCCTCATCTCCTACCTCTGCCTACGTTGCTACCTGCCTCCAGCAAAGCAGTGTCAGCAGTTGTGACCATGCCTAGCACCACTCCTATTTCTAGCCAGACCTCAATACGGACCTGTAAGTGCCCGGATGTGTTGGTGTTAGAGGACTGTCTGCTTCCCCTTGCTGGAGGAAATAACAGCAAACAAGTCTAAAGGGTTCCCATTTGCACCTTTATAATATTAAGTCATTCAACCCATATACCCATCCTAAGAACTGAGCACTGTAATTGCTCCTATTTTACAAATGGCCAAACTGAGGCTTGCCCAAGACCACACAGCCAGGAAGCAGCAAAGCTAATAGCCGCTCCATGGGGGCAGGACACTTTCCCCCAACTGTTACATTCCTAAATATGCCTGGAACCTAACTGATACTCAAATACTCCCCAGAGGGACGCAGATGAATGAATGCCATGGACACCCAGTCCCCCAGGTGAAAACGTGCCTTTTGGAGAGGAACCATGGACACACCATGCTGCTGGGGAATACTTTGATTCTCACCCTAATGATTTAAGAAACATGAAGGGATAGTAGCCTGAGTGCAAAGGCAGCTGGAGAAAAATCACAGCTGTAAACACACACACACCCCAGAACCCCTAACTCTTCGGAATAGGTACCCACAGCTACTGAAATGATGGCCGCTTGGATCAGGCCCAGGAGTTTGCCCTTCACTTCTGCTTTTGGTTGACACAGACCACCAACTGTCTCAAGTTTTCCACGAAACAGATGATGTCAAGCGTCTTGTTCCCTTTCATTCATTCTTCCTCAATCTTCAGGAAACGTGTCAAAGGTTTTTTTTCCCCAGACCAGTCCTTTTCTTTAAGAATGTGTTCTAGATGCCAATTCTCTGTGTGATGCTGTGCTGGGTACCAGGAAAGGGTGTTTTCCTGACATTCTGGAGGTGGTGAGGCAGGAATCCTCAAAGAAAACTCTATCCATTTCCGATGGCTGCCAGCACAAATCACCACAAATGCGGTGGCTTACAACAACACAAGTTTATCATCTTACAGTCATAGAGGCAGTACGCCCAAAAGTCAAGATGTCAACAGAGCTGCATTTTTTTCAGGAGGCTGGGGGTGGGGGCGGAGTGGAGATTTGTTGGTTTTTCCAGCTTCTGGAGGCTGCCTGGCTTCTGGCCCTCTCCTTGGTCTTCAGATTCAGCAGTACAGCATCTCCCAATTTCCCTCTCTCCCCTCTGTTTTATCTTTCATCTCTTCTGGCTCTGAGCTCCCTGCTTCCCTTTAATAAGGACCCTGGCAGGACCGGTTGGCAGGGACACCTGGCTAGCTCAGTCAGTACTGCATGTAACTGGTTGTTGTTGTTTTTTCATTTTATTTTATTTTATTTCTTTTCAGTGTTTGCACGTGACTCTTGATCTCAGGGTCGTGAGTTCAAGCCCCATGTAGAGGTTACTAAATCATAAGAATAAAATAAAATGTAATTAAGGACCCTTGGGACTACACTGGGCCCACCAAGGTAATCCAAGATAATCACCCCATCACAAGGGCCTTGACTGAATCACATCTGCACGTGATGTGATTGGTCTCGGTGAAGTAAAGTAACATTCAAGGTTCTATGGATTAGGACATGAACCCCTGGGAGCATTGCTTCGTCTATCTACCACAATAACCCGTGCCAAAGCTTTTCTCAGCTTCTCTCTTTTGAAAACACCAACTTTTTCGAAGATCATGTCGCTTTTAACCAATCAACCCACCCTGCTACTCAAACCCACTGAGCAGGGAGCCTGGCCTCTGGCTCCATCCCAGGACCCTGAGATCAAGACCTGAGCTGAAGACAGATGCTTAACCCACTGAGCCACCCAAGTGCCCCAAGCATACAACTTTTGATCTCAAGGATTGTGAGTTTGAGCCCCATGTTGGGTGTGGAGATTACTTGAAAATAAAATATTTTTTTAAATGTTTTTTAAAATAACTTTTAAATATGGGGCACCTGGGTGGCTCAGTGGGTTAAAGCCTCTGCTTTCGGCTCAGGTCATGATCTCAGGGTCCTGGGATCAAGCCCCTCATCGGGCTCTCTGCTCAGCGGGGAGCCTGCTTCCTCCTCTCTCTGTGCCTGCCTCTCTGCCTATTTGTGATCTCTGTCAAATAAATAAATAAAATCTTTTAAAAAAAAATAATAAATAACTTTTAAATACAAGCCAGAGAAGATATCAATAAGCAAATTAGGAAGTATTTTAAACTGATTAAAATTGAAAAGTCAACATATGAATATTTATGTGATGCTACCAACAGCAGTACTTAAAGGGAAATTAATAGGACCCTGGGTGGTTCAGCTGGTTAAGCATCTGATTTTTTTATTTTGGCTCAGATCATGATCTCAGAATCATGAGATCGAGGGCGCCTGGGTGGCTCAGTGGGTTAAGCCGCTGCCTTCGGCTCAGGTCATGATCTCAGGGTCCTGGGATCGAGTCCCGCATCGGGCTCTCTGCTCAGCAGGAAGCCTGCTTCCCTCTCTCTCTCTCTCTCTGCCTGCCTCTCTGTCTACTTGTGATCTCTCTCTGTCAAATCAATAAATAAAATCTTTAAAAAAAAAAAGAATCATGAGATCGAGCCCCACATAGGGCTCTCCCCTCAACATGGAGTCTGCTTGAGATTCTCTCTTTCCCCCACCCTTTCAAAAAAAGATAAATAAAAATAAAGGGAAATTAATAGCCCTTAACACCTGTAGAAAAGAAGAAAGTCTCAAATTAATGACCTTAGCATCCATGGTGAAAAACTAGAAAAAGTAAACAAAATTCAAGGTGAGCAAAAGAAAGGAAATAAAGGTTAGAATGAAATTATAATTGGAAAAAAATAGAGAAAAATATCAGTAAAACCAAAAGATGTTTCCCTGAGAGGAGAAAAAAAAAAACCCATAAAATCGATAAACCTTTCCCCAGGCAGAGCAGGAGAAAAAATATGAAAGACACAAATGACCAATATGAGGAATAAGGGAGATGGCATCACTATCAATATTAAAAGGACTAGTCAGAGCACATCATGAACAACTTCATGCCAAAACAATCCACTTAAATGAAATAAACAAATTTTTTGAAAACCACGAATTAAGCTCACTCAAAAAGAAATAGAAACCCTGAATAGCCCTACATCTTTAAAATAAAGTTCTAAATAATTTTTAGAGGGGGGAAAAACTGCAGATTGAGCCACAGTAGAGGACCACACAGGAAGACCCCACCTTTTTTTTTTTTTAAGGACATGTGCTTTTTTTTTTTTTTTAAGATTTTATTTATTTATTTGACAGAAAGAGAGATCACAAGCAGGCAGAGAGGCAGGTGGAAGCAGGCTCCCCGCTGAGCAGAGAGCCCATGCGGGGCTGATTCCAAGACCCTGAGATCTGACCTGCTGAAGGCAGAGGCTTAACCCACTGAGCCGCCCAGGTACCCTGAATCCCTGAGCCCACCTTCTTAACCGCCCTTGTTGATTTGGAGAAGGTTGGAGTCAAAAGTGACAGAGGCAAGCAACTTAGCCAGCTCCGCCTGAGAAAAGCTGAGTCATAATGAGGTCCCAGCTCTCCATAAATTTAAGCGTCACTAATCAAACACCTTCAGATTACACTAAAGAAGGGGGGGGGTCCTAATTGCCTATGCAGACCTCGACACACCTGGAGATTCATTTTCATTTGAACTTTGTGAATGCACAGGTTTCACTGGGAGGAAAAAATATATCGATATCCATCCTCCTTGGACAAACTTAAAACTCATACACTTGGCACCCACAGGAGTTATGTAAGGTTTAAGTAAAAACATTCCAATAAGAGGCTTGGCACACAGCAAGAGCTTCATTAACACTCCCTCCCACTGGGGGCGCGCTGGGAATCACACCCAGAGATGAACCCTACCCCCACCTGTGAATCCACTCATAAGACCTTTTTTCTCTCATTCTTTCCTGTGTTTAAGCAAAAAGAGGGAACTATGACCACAGAAGCAGTTAGCGTGTCTAAAAAGTTTCATCGCATTTGAGGAAACGGCAAACATTTTCATTTTGCAGTGGATGGAAGGCGCACGCCCAAGAAAATTACTCAGCCCTTGTTTTTCTCCTTTAGGGGTTTTCCTAAAATAGTTTCTTCGATCCAAATGCAATGCATCTTAGCACCCAACGACTCATCACCATCCGCTTTGGCTTTGGGAAAGCTACCACCGCTCCAGCCCGCAGACCACCGCTCGACTCAGGGGCGGGATCCAGAGCTCGCAGCTCGAGGGAAAGGGCGGGCCCGGGAGCGGGCCGTTACGAAACCTTCGGGAACAGACCGCCACTCCTCGCAGGGGAGGGACCAAGGGCTGGGGCCTCGTTCTCTAGAAGTCGCAGCACTGAATCCCAGAACTCAGGGCTCTGTGGCTGCTCTGTGTCCGCGCCTCTGCAGCGCGCTCCCCGGTGGCCCACAGCCCGGTCCGCTCTCCAAGTGCCTCCCCGGGCCATGTCGTCCTGCAGCCGCGTGGCGCTGGTGACCGGGGCCAACAAGGGCATCGGCTTCGCGATCGCGCGTGACCTGTGCCGGCAGTTCTCGGGGGACGTGGTGCTCACGGCGCGGGACGAGGCGCGGGGTCGCGCGGCGGTGCAGCAGCTCCAGGCCGAGGGCCTGAGTCCCCGCTTCCACCTGCTGGACATCGACGACCTGCAGAGCATCCGCGTCCTGCGCGACTTCCTGCGCAAGGAGTACGGGGGCCTCAACGTGTTGGTCAACAACGCGGGCATTGCTTTCAAGAGTAAGTCGGGGGTGGGTCCCTGGGAGCGCCACGGGTTCGGGACAGAGAGCCGCAGGCAACCCCCACTCGCCTACTAGAGTGACCGCGGAGCGCAGCGCCGGCTCCTCAGGACGCTCTCAGCACTGGCCTCGCGCGGCTGGTTCGCTTTCCACGGAGTCGCCGGAGCCATTCGCTTTGGCGCAGGGCGGGCGGGGCGCAGCCCAGGGCCCTCCCCGAGCGGTCTGCTGTGAAGTCTGCCAGAAAACCGGCCTCCTGGGAGGGGGGCCACGCCCTGCTAAGCTCATCAGCTTTCTGTCTTTGCGAAGGGTCTCCGAGGTCACTTGGGGCTTTCGCTCTCCTTGAAAGGGCGAATTCATAGTTGCCCGGAGGCATCTGCTCGGGACAGGAAATGAATCGCGGAGACACGACGGGCGCGCACTGTGCACGTTAGTGGACTTGAGATTTTGTTTAATGGAGAGCTTTGATAGGCTCAGGCAGAAAGGAAGCGAGCCTTGTTCCCTCCCCCGGGCATTTAGGTTTGTCATCAAACATACATTTTAAGTGGGATTTTAAGTAGCATCTTTGGAGCGGGGGGAGTCAAGGAGGTTACTTTCTCTGTTGCTCCATTGAGAAAATTAGTTGAGCTGCCCTGTGTTGGGGGTAGAAATAGGCCACCCTCATTTACCAACCTAGTGGGGAAGAGACACCCAGGAGACAACAAAACTAGTGTGAGGCCTCGATTGATTCCCGCCCCGGCCTTGACCCCTCACCGAGGCTGTGCATCCGCACCTCAGCTCAGCCTGCGGGCTGTCTGGGAGCGCCGGCGGGAAGGGGCAGACCCCTGCTGCAGCGGACCTCGGCGGCCCGTGGAGGGGTTGGTGGCTGGCTGCCTCTTCCAAGAACACACGTCGGCTGGAAGCCCCCGCCCCCTCCACAGTGTGGGCCGTGCACGAGCGGCACCTGCGCTAAGGCCTCCTGCCACACCTGCTGAATCACAATTTGCGTTTGAACAGAATCCCGAGGTGCGTCCCATACCCGGTCAGGATTGAGCAGCGGCCGGGAAAGCCGGGAATTCCCAAAGTGGGGCCAGACCAGTAGCTGCCACGTCACCTGGGAACGCGTTCGAAATGCACATTCTGGAGCCCCACCCCAGACCTTCTCCTTCCCCAACTCCGGGGGGATGGAGCCCAGAACGCTGTGTTTTAACCCGCCCTGCATGTGCTTCAGAGACACGCCTGAAGTTTTGAGAACTACCGACCTAGGGGTTTAAAAATCGTTTTAAAGTTAGCTTGTTTTTCTCGTAGTTAGAGATAAGATGCGCTTGTTGTGTACATTTCAGGGGGTAAAGCGTGACTTTGTTTCCTTCTCTTTTTGGAAGCGGACGATCCAACGCCCTTCTACATCCAAGCTGAGATAACGCTGAAGACAAACTTTTTTGCCACAAGAAATGTCTGCATCGAATTACTGCCGATAATAAAACCTCATGGTAAGTCCAGCCACGTGGGTTGTCAAGTTGTATCCCTCTACAAGAAGTGGTTGGTGGGGCTGTCCTTCTGGAGTGACCTAGGGATGCCATTTCTCTGTGTGGGGGACACAGAAAACTGCACTGTTTTCTCCTAAGCGTTCACCTGCACATTACAGCTTTAAAAGGCGTATGGTAGGGGCGCCTGGGTGGCTCAGTGGGTTAAAGCCTCTGGCTTCCGCTCTGGTGGTGATCCCAGGGTCCTGGGATCGAGCCCCACGCCGGCTCTCTGCTGGTCAGGAAGCCTGCTTCCCCCTCTCTCTCTGCCTGCCTCTCTGCCCACTTGTGATCTCTGTCTGTCAAATAAATAAATATATATATATATAATCTTTTAAAAAATAAAAAGTAAACGGCATATGGTGCATGGCAAAGCTCTTCGGTGCCAAGTCACAAACTCAACCCTAGAATAATAGGGAAGTCCCCAGGGGCCTCTTGGCCTCTGAGCAGTCTCAGGGTCCTTCTCAGCTCCCCAGGGTGGTGGGGCCACCCTAGCTTCTTTGGGGGCCTGAGGGAAGGCTCTTTTTTTTTTTTCTTAGCATTTTTATGACTTTCCCCCTGTTCCTTTCTTCACTTCCTCAAGCTGATGCAGAACCTCCCAGAGAAGTTTATTACAGAGTATCTTACCCACACTCCCAAGTATTCAATCAGTAACCTTTATGACTTTTTCATTACTTTTCCCACAAATACTGGAGGGCCTACCCTAACCCAGGGTGCTGGGGACACAGTGGAAGCACCGTGGACAGGGAGAATCCTGACCACAGAGCACGGAGTCTAGTAGAGCAGACTGTAGTTGAGGAGGGGTGGCGGGAGAAGGCTTCCCTGAGGACTCTCTTCCCCCAGAAAGGCAACTGGGACTCTTAGGAAGAAGAACTCTGTGGTTCTTACTAGAAATGTGCTTTTCTCGGACAATTATCATACGATCTCACTAACAGGTGGAATTTAAGAATCAAGGCAGAGAATCCTAGGGGAAGAGAGGAAAAAACGAAACAGAACAATACCAGAGAGGGAGACAAACCAGAAGCGACCTTTAATCATAGGAAACAAACTGAGGGTTGCTGGAGGGGAGCAGGGGTAGAGGAGTGAGGTAACTGGGTGATGGACATTGGGGAGGGTATGTGTTGTAATGAGCACTGGTATTATATAAGACTGATGAATCACAGACCTGTACGCCTGAAACAATAATACATTAAAAAGCTTCCAAATCTCAGACAACCAGTCAGACGAGGAGGAGCAGTGTCTAGAATTGCTTTCCTTTTCCTGTTAGGCATGCATTTTTAATTAAAATAACTGCATAATAAAAATGTGCTTTTCTCAGTTTAACATTTTGAAGAAAGATGATCTCTCGTGCAAATATCTCAAAAATTCTAAAAAGATGCATGGTGAGAGTTGCACCCGAACTCCTGCCCCTACTTGCCCAGTTCCTATCCCCGAGCTCTACAGGCAATTCCCTTTATCCTTTCCTAGTGGGTTGAGCTCCCACTCAACAGGCAGAGTGGCAGGTACTGGCTGAAGAAAGCCTTGGGTCCGGGTGCACGGAGCTGGTGAGTGCCCAGGGCCAAGGGGATGGAGGTTTGTTTTTGTTTGTTTGTTTTTTTTAAAGTAGACTCCGTGGAGCCCAACTTGGGGCTTGAACTCATCATCCTGAGATAAAGAACTGAGCTGAGATCAAGACTTGGACACTTAACTGACTGAGCCACCCAAGCATGCCCACAGGGTGGAATTTTTTAATGCAAGTCTAAATGCATATTTTTTTGCTCTCTTTTTTACACAAAGAGAACATTAAGTATAAAGTTTGCTGCTTTGCTTTCTTAGTATATCTGGGACTCTTTCTAGATCAGGACAGAAAGCTTTATTTTTTATAGCTGCATAGTATTCCATTGCAAGGGTGCCTTTTACCAAGTGTCTGAAGTCTTCTCTCAAGGGGCTTTAGAATCCTAGAATTTGAAACCTGCACGGTATTAAAGAAACCTTACATTCCTGGGTCTTCATTTTACAGAGAAGGAAACTGAGACGCAAAGGGGCGCCTGGGTCTCTCAGTGGGTTAAGGCTCTGCCTTCAGCTCAGGGTCCTGGGATCCAGCCCCGCATCTGGCTCTCTGCACAGCGGGGAACCTGCTTCCCTTCTCTCTCTGCCTGCCTCTCTGCCTACTTGTGGTCGGTCTTTCGCTCTCTGTCAAATAAATAAATAAATCTTAAAAAAAAAAAAGGGGGGGGGGCACCTGGGTGGCTCAGTGGGTTAAGCCGCTGCCTTCGGCTCAGGTCATGATCTCGGAGTCCTGGGATCGAGCCCCGCATCGCATCGGGCTCTCTGCTCAGCAGGGAGCCTGCTTCCTCCTCTCTCTCTGCCTGCCTCTCTGCCTGCTTGTGATCTATCAAATAAATAAATAAAATCTTTAAAAAAAAAAAAAAAGATGTGAACACAGACAGGTAGTCATAGAGCTGGAAACAGTATTCAGGTTTCCTGACTTCGCCCCTCAACTAAAGCAGGATAATTAGTTCCAGGGAAGGGAAGGATCAAAATGCCAAATGATTGCAAACCAGGCCTTTTTGAAAGATAAAAGGTGGCTGTGGGGAGGGTGAGGCTCAGGCAACAACCCAGAGCAAGTGATGACTGGCTTTAACCAGTCCTCCCAAAGTAGGAATCTGGTTTACAAGACCCTAAGAATATTCGTGACTTTTCGGTAAAACTCAGTGTTCACCTGGAGGGCAAAAAGCTGAGGATTATTGCCTCCTGGTTGGTAGGGAATCACTTTCTCCCCCAAACAAAACTGACTTAAAAGCCACATTTTATTTAGTGTTACATTATCTTTAAAGAAAGTCATCCCTCTTCCTCATTTAAGTTTCTGAGGGACTAGGTTAATCAAGTGTTTTCCCACTAGGGGGAGCTACTTGCACACTCTTTCTAAGAATGGGGGTGGGGTGGTTTCTGGACCAGTGGGCCCCCTCGGCCCTCAGCAAAGGGGGGTGTGGGTGCATCCTTTCTTAGGGCTGATTGGAACCATCTGGCTGTAGAGACAGTCACCCCTTGGCCGCTCCCAGAGGTGTCCCTGAGATCAGAGAGGACATCTCTTACAAGCTTTTAATTTCCACCAAAGGCACAGAGTGGCTTCTGTAATTGGTGTTTCTTTTCTCCTTTTCCTTTTGAATTCAATTCCTTGTGGCAGCCAGGTGATTAAGAACAAAGTCGTTTAGAAAGTAATGGAGAGGGGCACCTGGGTGGCTCAGAGGGTTAAAGCCTCTGCCTTCGGCTCAGGTCAAGATCCCGGGGTCTTGGGATCGAGCCCCGCGTCGGGCTCTTCCCTTGGTGGGGAGCCTGCTTCCTCATCTCTCTGCCTGCCTCTCTGCCTACTTGTGATCTCTCTCTGTCCAATAAATAAATAAAATCTTAAAAAAAAATATAATGGAGAACACGTCATCAAAGTAGTAGTATTCCGGGCCAACCTATTGAAGTGAATCTGATTATAAGACAATCACACCTGGGATGTCTAGGTGGCTCGGTTGGTTAAGTCTCTGCCTTTGGCTCAGGTCATGATCCCAGGGTCCTGGGATCAAGCCCCACATCCAGCTCTCTGCTCAGCAGGAAGTCTGCTGCTCCCTCTGCCAGCCGCTCCTCCTCCTGCTTGTGCTGTCTCTCTGAGAAATAAATAAAATCTTTCTAAAGATTTTATTAAAATCATTCTCCATGGTGAATGAATGCCACTCAGAAAATCCAGTAAAATCCAATTAACCTGGTGCACCTGGGTAGCTCAGTCGGTTAAGTGTCCAACTCTTGATCTCAGCTCAGGTCTTGACCTCAGGGTTGTGAGTTCAGTCAAGACCCATGTTGGGCTCCTTGCTCCATAAGTAGGCATGGAGCCTACTTTTAAAAAAATCTGATTATCCTGTTGGATGCACGGGAAATGATTTCAAGATAATATGTAAGAAAAGAACTCCCTAAGTGTGGTGGTGTTTGATGTTGAATGAACTGTATAAATTAACCCATTTACTGGTTTTGGGAATTTCCACCAATACTTCAAATTATCTTACAGTTTGGGGCCTGCATATTTTTTTTTATAGACCTGACGGTGTTTTTAGTAGTTGTGAATTGTTGTTACTATGAATATTAACTCATTAATTACATTATATTTACTTTTTGGCTATGGGCTAAAAAAAAGTGATGAAAATCAAAACTGGGATGGAGAATCAACCCACTCCACGTGTGAAAGTAGCCATCGTTAAGGATAGACAAGGCATTACCTCACCCTGATTTCTGGTACTTGGAAATAAAGAGGTGGCTACCCTTGGCCCTACGAAACTGTGCAAATCAAGAAATAGATTTAGGGGCGCCTGGGTGGCTCGGTGGGTTGAGCCGCTGCCTTCGGCTCGGGTCGTGATCTCAGGGTCCTGGGATGGAGTCCCGCATCGGGCTCTCTGCTCGGCAGGGAGCCTGCTTCTCTCTCTCTCTCTCTGCCTGCCACTCTGTCTGCTTGTGATCTCTTTCTGTCAAATAAATAAATAAAATCTTTAAAAAAAAAAAAGAAAGAAATAGCTTTAATTCTCAGGGTGAGGTGCTGTCTCGAGGAAAGCAAGCTCACCGGCACCTGGGGTGTTAGTGGGTGCAGAAGGATGTCTTTATAAAAGCACCTGGTGATTTCACTACAGACTTACTCCTCCTCACCTGATGAATAATCACTGCTCTCTGTTGCTGATGGGAATGCATCCTTCCCTTTGGGGGAAGAGAGCACGAAATAAGGTCAAAACCCACTGGTGCCTTCTAGAGTCTTTTTTTTTTTTTTTTTTAATCGGCAGTTAAACCTGCCGTATGAATCAGTTACATGTTGGGTATTGTTCATGTGTGACATGCTTCCGTGTTTCTACTGCTCTGTTTCAGGCAGGGTGGTGAATGTTAGTAGTTTAGAGGGCTCAAAAGCTCTCGAAAATTGCAGCACAGATCTACAGAAGAAGTTCCGGTGTGAGACGCTCACGGAGGAGGACCTGGTGGACCTCATGAAGAAGTTTGTGGAGGACACAAACAATGAAGTGCATGAGAGGGAAGGCTGGCCCAACTCGGCTTATGGGGTGTCCAAGCTGGGGGTCACGGTCTTATCGAGAATCTTGGCCCGGCGTCTGGATGAGAAGAGAAAAGGTGACAGGATTCTGCTGAATGCATGCTGCCCGGGGTGGGTGAAGACGGACATGGGAGGGGCTCATGGCCCCAGGACGGTGGAGGAGGGAGCCGACACCCCTGTCTACTTGGCCCTGTTGCCCCCAGATGCTACCGAGCCTCATGGCCAGCTAGTCCATGACAGAGTCGTCCAAAACTGGTGAAGGTCTGCTTTGGTGCTTAATAAATGTGGAATGAATGAATGAATTCTGTTGTAGTCTGCTTCTGTTTCTGTCCTTGGGGAATGTCGATTAAAATCTCCCTGGGGGGGCGCCTGGGGGGCTCAGTGGGTTAAAGCCTCTGCCTTCGCTCCTAGGGTCATGGTCCCAGGCTTTCTGCTCAGCAGGGAGCCTGCTTCCTCCTCTCTCTCTCTGCCTGCCTCTCTGCCTACTTGCCATCTCTCTCTGTCAAATAAATATATAAAATCTTTAAAAAAAGGAAATAAATAAATAAATAAATAAATAAATAAATAAATCTCCCTGGGAGAAAGTGTCTTGTTCTAGAATCAGGCTGAGCAATTTTGCTATGTCCGAACTCTGGCCTGAAAGGGCGAAGAACCCGGTCTAGGTTCTGCAGTGGTTCTGCAGTGTCAGAGGGCATCATCGGGATTGCCCAGGGTTGGGGCCCAGCATGTGCATTTCTGACAAGCTCCCAGGTGGTGCTGGTGCTGGGACAGCAGTTTGAGAACCACTGGTCTAGCAAGAGCTCTCGAGCTGTGGAGCAGGTTACAGCCATGTTCCAGCCATCCCTCGATGATTCTGTGTTAACTCCCTAAGGATGTGATTTATCCCGTGTCCATAGTTCTGCAATCCTACTTTGTATCACATTCTGTTTCATTATATTTGGGCATATTTTCATTGGTTCTTATGCAGTGGTATGGCTTGAAAGACTCAGGGAGAATGTCCCTTTTTTCCATTGGGGTATGATTTCTCCCGGACTGGGGTTTTCACTTGAGTTTTGCATTCTGTGTTGCCAGAAGGTTTGCAAAGTTGCTCTGCACCTTCTTTCAAATTGTTCCTGCCTGGGCAACTTTGTCCAGACCATCTCTTTGCTCTGACACATACAGATACCTTCTCCCTGACCTATTCCTGCTTCTCTCTGGGCTACAGCCCAGGGTGACTCTTCAGATGCCTCCCTGAGCCCCTTTTGTAGTCTCTGACGATAAGCGACTCCACATCCACTGCTTTCAAATGGGATTGGTTTTGTAATCTGCCTCCTGGCTTCTGGTTATACACTGTAGGAAAAGGACTTGGAAATTAAAGAATCTTATGAAAGAAAAGTATAGTTGTGAAGAACGTTAGCTAGGGAGTGAAGACCTCAAAAGGAATGGCTAGCCAAACAACAGAAACACAACAGGTGCACGACGGACAAACTACAAAGGAAAGAAACCACAAATTTACCAAGTTTATGATGGAGAGTTCACTGTGAGATAAAGCAATGTTGTCACTTGATTAGAACCACAAAGATCATGTCATATCACCTGACGACAGCATTGCAGAAATAAAGGATAAGACTATCTTCCTTCTGAGAAGCTGCACAGTATGGAAATGCTCAAGGTTTATTTGGGGGAACCAGGACTTTGCAGTTAACCCTGTTATTTCTGGTCTATCACAGCATGCAAAGTGCTTCTGGACTCTCCAACCTACCAATGGCAGTAGGGCAAAGTGTCATTTAGCTCTGACAACCCACACCTCACTGCTTCATCCACTTTGGGTGGAGGGACATCTGAATCCCACCCAAAATGCATCTCACTGCCTTTAGCCTTCTCTATCTTGCCTGGTTAAATCCAGCTTGCTCTTATATTTGTCTAGGACCATAGCTCCCAAGATATTTTAATGACTTCTTGTCTGGCTCTTAAAAACATTTTAATGGTTTTTGATATGTTTCCTCGATGTCTGTCATACTCTGGTCTCCCTCTATAGGCAGCTTCCAGAACCCTGCCAATGATGAGCAGTAGCACCAGGACCACGGAGTACTTTCAGGTTCTGCCTAACGGAGTCACAGGAGAACAGGCCAGTTCCTTTTATTTCTTCTCCCTTTTTGGTCTCTAGCCAAGCATCACCTTGACATTTTTGGATCAGTGTGTACCCACTTAGAAGACCCTTAATTGTAAGCTGCTGATCAGAACAGCAGGTCTCATGTTTATGGAAAGATCGACCCTTACGGGCCGACTGCCCAGCACCCTCCTCCCACTGCTTCCTCCCATGTTTGGAGCTACAACAGCCACAAGGTGACTTTGCCCTGCTAGACTCTGTTGACGGTTCCAGCTGTAGGCCTGTCTTCTAAAGAGAAGGACCAGCTGGACTGGATCAGGGAACACTCAGAGCTGTTACTCTGAGTGGCCCTGCCCCACCCCACATTGTCTAAGGTGCAGAGGGAACCAAGTATGTGGCTGGAGAAAGAGGAAACCAATTTTCAAGAGACGCACTTACAGAGCGGCCCCAAGAGGAACTGTCCCACCTCCACGCAGTGGCACCCCTAACCTCAGACTGTTTCTGAGAGAAATGCTCCCTGAATCCTTAAAAGAAATATTCCTATTCCTTAAGCTACTTTGAATTATGTTGCTTGCAACTGAAAAGAATCTAATACACGTGCATGAAAATGGTTCATGGTGTGCTGTAGTGAGAAAAGAACTACGTTTAGAATGAAAAGGAAAAAAAAAGAAAAAGAATTAAAAGAGTTGAGAACCATGGCATACTAGGCCACATGTTATGCTTAATACTTTCTCTGTGTTGTTTTAGGTATTTCTTACAGTGTCCTTTGAGATAGGCATTCATATCATTTTTCAAATAAGGAAAAAAGGCTTGGAGAGTTGATTAACTTGTCCAAGATCACACAGTTAAGAGACTAGAGCCAGGATCATATCCAGGATTATCTAACAGCAGTTCCTTGGTTTTTCTTGGTGCCTAGTGCTTGGCATATTACTTCTAGTAATATTACTAGTGCTTCAATATTACGAGTCTAGAGATCAGGGCAACTCCCTGGGTGTAAAAATTAGGGGAGATGATACATCAAATCCAAGTTTTTTTGTTTTTTGTTTTTTTATTTGACACAGAGAGAGAGATCACAAGTAGGCAGAGAGGCAGGCAGGGGGGGGGGGGTAGCAAGCTCCCTGCTGAGCAGAGAGCCCAATTCGAGGCTCGATCCCAGGACCCTGAGATCATGACCTGAGCCGAAGGCAGAGGCTTAACCCACTGAGCCACCCAGGTGCCCCAAATCCAAGTGTTTTGTAAGCCAAATAGTTATTAGATTCCCCGCTTAGCCTCTGTGTGAACTTTTCTATAAAATAGATAAATGAAATATGGTTTTTCAATGTGGCGTATTTTTTTTCCATTTTTTTAAAAAGATTTTATTTATTTGACAGGCAGAGATCAAAAGAAAGCAGAGAGAGAGTGGCAGGCAGAGAGAGAGAGAGAGAAAAAAGGAAGCAGGCTCCCTGCTGAGCAGAGAGCCCGATGCGGGGCTAGATACCAGGATCCTGGGATCATGACCTGAGCCAAAGACAGAGGCTTTAACTCACTGAGCCACCCAGGTGCCCCTCAATGCGGCGTATTTTAAGTGGATTATCCCATTCTGTGTGTTCTTGAGACACCAAATGGAGCCAGTGATTCTGTCCAAACCAACTTCTCTGTGATACATTTTTCTAGGTTGATACAGGCGTGTTAAACCCACACATAGTATCAGCTTTAGCCCTGGCCTTTGGGCTTCTCCCTCACCTACTGAACTTCAGCAGAGTGTGACAGACCAAGATCCTGAACAGCGATGTAGTGTGGAGATGAAACCGGTGATAATGACGATCCTGACAAAGGTTTCCTTGTTACTGCAAGTCAACCACAAAGTGGGCACAGCATCAAATACAGAACCACACAGGACTCTGTCCAGATGGGGTGGTAGAGAGTCTAGTTTATAGAAAAGACAGAGTTAGAGGATCACCAGGATTTGCATATGGAAACTCAAAATGTGTTTACCCAATCTCTCTAACAGGTGGGCCAGCCTGAGCCAGAGAATGTCACGTCTGATTTATAACCCCTTCTTTATTATCAGAAGGAGTAAGGATTAAAGTTCTGGTTCAAATTAAATCTGAGATGCTCTGATTAGTGTGTTATTATGTGAGGAACAGGCTCTGTTTATATGTCTTGAACAGATAAGCACAGCCTAGGAGACTTTTAAGAGTGACAACTTGACCCACGGAAACAGATTTCATGTGGGAATGAACTTTCGAATCTTAATGCTGTACATTTACTGTCAATCCTGATTACACATGTAGTAGCTTTTTTTTTTAAGGGTTTATGATACTTGAATCTGTCAAAATTAATTTAAATGAGCTTTCCACACACCTGGAGGTCTTTAGCGATAGGTGACAAATACAAGGCATGCATTTTATTTTATTTAATGTATCAGGACAAAGTTATACATAGTGGTTTTGACATGAATAGACTGCTCCTCTCTTTCAGTGGGGAGTATAAGCAGTTCTTTCATTATTAGATGCAGTGTGGAGTGTGGCTAGGGTTTGAGGAACTTAAAACAAAAAAACCCACCTCACCTCTTTGGCAGCTGTTTTTTTTTAAATAGATTTTCTCATATCTTCATCAGGAAATCAGCTTCATGAAATTAATTTTTTCCTAGTAAATGCTCCATCCTTTAGCTTTCCTGTACTTCTACTTTAAGACCACTGCTATAATTGACCATCAGAAGATTCACATCTGGTGCACTTGGCATATGTCAAATGCAGATGGAATCAGAATCAGAATCAGAAGCCTGGGCAGGCCAGGGACTGGCCCAGCATCCCAAACCATGAAAATATTCTTGGTGATTTGTGGGCAGTGATAGATCCCCTTGGGAATCTGATACAAACTTTAAACCCTTTTCCAGAAACATATACACAAAATGTTGTGTACAGCTTCGAAGTGTCTGTGGACCTCCCATTCCCACCTCCTAAGTTTTTCACGGTGGCCTAGCTTTTAGGAGATCCAGACTAGATCTGAAAATTCCTTAAGGGGCTGTCAAGGGTTAAATGGTCAGAGGCCTGTGCAGAAATTACTACCTCCACCAACAGGTGCCGCTGCTTTGATTGGCTGGGAGCCCCAGCTGGTGCAATCAGGATGCACAGGTGAACTCTGCCTGACTCCAGTCCTTCAAGATGCCTCTGGCCCTGCAGCTGTCAGGCCAGGTTGGGTGGGTCTGAACTGGCTAGGTCCGGAGGCTCC